ATGATGACCATCGGTGTTTTGGACAACTGAGGCATAACTGGAAGCATGTCCGTGTGGAACATAGCCCGCAAATGCAACTSCAAAAAGCGCGGCAGCGGTGATTACGACACACGAAAGGATTTGCATTTTTGATATATGTTTTTATAAACTAAAACTGATTTGTAAGAGCTTTGTAGAATTCTTATTTTATTGTTAGTAACTATTTGAAGCTAATGGCTAACTGATACCAATCGGATTAGTGAGTAACTATTTATAACAAATTCATCTGCTCAACTATATTTTGGATAGAGTTCTGAAAAACGATTTCAAATTATTAATTCCGAAATTGAAAGTATATAAAAGACTTTAAACACCGGCGTGGTGTGATGCAATCATTATAACATTCAAGGTSGCAAGACAAATTCAAGAGCCACGCAAGTGTATAAGCTATCACACATGGCCAAGAGTCAGGTCCATAGATCAACCCAGTTCACCACAGTAGTGAACAATAAATAAACTGTTGTTATTAGCGGGCTTTATTTACTAGTTAACGGCATATTTTTATCTTTCTGTCTTCACTTCAATWAAGCGATCAACGCTTGCACGTGTTTTGTTGGTTCCATTGTGTCTGCTTCGTTAATTAAAAGATTTGAAGGAAATGGTGCAAAGTCGACGTAATAAATATCAATAATTTACTTAAAGTAATTAAACTTTACTTCAACTTTTGTGTTCAAAATATTTGAAAGTTGAAGTAATTAGTGAAGTAAAGACTGTTCAAAAAACATTCTAAACTTATTATTAAAATAGTTCTTTTAATCTATTGTTATAAATCTTGGTATCTTATTAACACATCAATTAAGGAAATAATCTCTTTAGAAAAACAATTTGTGATCGAAGTCTTCAGAATTTTACAAATATTCTGAGGCATAAATAGTAAACCGAAAGAGCTATTCGATGTCAGTCTTGCACTGCAAGTTACTATAATTAGTATCAACATTTGTCAATCATCTAATTTTTGCATTTCAACAAGTTCGTTATAATGCAAATCCTCTCGTATATCGCATTCACCGCTGCCGCCCTTTTCGGAGTCGCATTCGCGGGCTATATTCC